TGCTAACTGGAATCAACAGAAACAGAAAAGAATAGTCACTGTCATTAAATACTAGATACTCAGAAGGACCTCTACTGCTAACTGAAATCAACTGAAACAGAAAAGAATAGTCACTGTCATTAAATACCAGATACTCAGAAGGACCTCTACTGCTAACTGGAATCAACTGAAACAGAAAAGAAAATTCACTGTCATTAAAGACTGGATACTCAGAAGGACCTCTACTGCTAACTGAAATCAACTGAAACAGAAAAGAATAGTCACTGTCATTAAAGACTGGATACTCAGAAGGACCTGAACTGCTAACTGAAATCAACAGAAATAGAAAGGAATAGTCACTGTCATTAAATACTAGATACACAGAAGGACCTCTACTGCTAACTGGAATCAACTGAAACAGAAAAGAATAGTCACTGTCATTAAAGACTGGATACTCAGAAGGACCTCTACTGCTAACTGAAATCAACTGAAACAGAAAAGAATAGTCACTGTCATTAAAGACTGGATACTCAGAAGGACCTGTACTGCTAACTGGAATCAACAGAAACAGAAAAGAATAGTCACTGTCATTAAACACTAGATACTCAGAAGGACATCTACTGCTAACTGAAATCAACTGAAACAGAAAAGAATAGTCACTGTCATTAAATACTAGATACTCAGAAGGACCTCTACTGCTAACTGGAATCAACTGAAACAGAAAGGAATAGTCACTGTCATTAAATACTAGATACTCAGAAGGACCTCTACTGCTAACTGGAATCAACTGAAACAGAAAGGAATAGTCACTGTCATTAAATACCAGATACTCAGAAGGACCTCTACTGCTAACTGGAATCAACTGAAACAGAAAAGAAAATTCACTGTCATTAAAGACTGGATACTCAGAAGGACCTCTACTGCTAACTGAAATCAACTGAAACAGAAAAGAATAGTCACTGTCATTAAAGACTGGATACTCAGAAGGACCTCTACTGCTAACTGGAATCAACTGAAACAGAAAAGAATAGTCACTGTCATTAAAGACTGGATACTCAGAAGGACCTGAACTGCTAACTGAAATCAACAGAAATAGAAAGGAATAGTCACTGTCATTAAATACTAGATACACAGAAGGACCTCTACTGCTAACTGGAATCAACTGAAACAGAAAAGAATAGTCACTGTCATTAAAGACTGGATACTCAGAAGGACCTCTACTGCTAACTGAAATCAACTGAAACAGAAAAGAATAGTCACTGTCATTAAAGACTGGATACTCAGAAGGACCTGTACTGCTAACTGGAATCAACAGAAACAGAAAAGAATAGTCACTGTCATTAAACACTAGATACTCAGAAGGACATCTACTGCTAACTGAAATCAACTGAAACAGAAAAGAATAGTCACTGTCATTAAATACTAGATACTCAGAAGGACCTCTACTGCTAACTGGAATCAACTGAAACAGAAAGGAATAGTCACTGTCATTAAATACTAGATACTCAGAAGGACCTCTACTGCTAACTGGAATCAACTGAAACAGAAAAGAATAGTCACTGCCATTAAAGACTAGATACTCAGAAGGACCTCTACTGCTAACTGGAATCAACTGAAACAGAAAAGAATAGTCACTGTCATTAAATACTAGATACTCAGAAGGACCTTTACTGCTAACTGGAATCAACAGAAACAGAAAAGAATAGTCACTGTCATTAAATACTAGATACTCAGAAGGACCTCTACTGCTAACTGAAATCAACTGAAACAGAAAAGAATAGTCACTGTCATTATAGACTAGATACTCGGAAGGACCTCTACTGCTAACTGGAATCAACAAAAACAGAAAGGAATAGTCACTGTCATTAAATACTAGATACTCAAAAGGACCTCTACTGCTAACTGAAATCAACTGAAACAGAAAAGAAAAGTCACTGTCATTAAATACTAGATACTCAGAAGGACCTTTACTGCTAACTGGAATCAACTGAAACAGAAAAGAAAAGTCACTGTCATTAAATACGAGATACTCAGAAGGACCTGTACTGCTAACTGAAATCAACTGAAACAGAAAAGAATAGTCACTGTCATTAAAGACTAGATACTCAGAAGGACCTGTACTGCTAACTGAAATCAACTGAAACAGAAAAGAATATTCAGTCATTACATACTACATACTCAGAAGGACCTCTACTGCTAACTGAAATCAAGTGAAACAGAAAAGAATAGTCACTGTCATTAAATACTAAATACTCAGAAGGACCTCTACTGCTAACTGAAATCAACTGAAACAGAAAAGAATAGTCACTGTCATTAAATACTAGATACTCAGAAGGACCTCTACTGCTAACTGGAATCAACTGAAACAGAAAGGAATAGTCACTGTCATTAAATACTAGATACTCAGAAGGACCACTACTGCTAACTGAAATCAACTGAAACAGAAAAGAATAGTCACTGTCATTAAATACTAGATACTCAGAAGGACCTGTACTGCTAACTGGAATCAACTGAAACACTACAATTCAATCCCGGCAAATTATAATCCAACCAAAAGTTATACAATAGTGCGTGTGTTTGTTTGGTAAACTGAACGAAACAAAAATACAAAATTTTACGTACGAATGAAATATATGAACGTTAAATGCAAACATCGTCGACTCATTATATGAATAAATCGAGTCAAAAACGAAAGTAAAATTTGCTGTTCAATTCAGAGGAATAATCAATTACAATTTGTATTTGTTGATTGAAACATGTAAGTCATATATATATAATTCCGTAAACATAACTTCCATGTTTATTAAACAATCCTTAATAATTTGACAACAATCCAATGGTAATAAGTATTATAGATGTGAAACAGAATAACTAACAGCTCCAGACCTCAACCAATCAAAAGATTGCTTACTACCACTTCATTTTAACTCTAGTGGGTAGTTGTCTAATTGGCAATCAGACCACATATTTACTGTATTTTTAAGTTATTGCGTTGAGCCTTTATGATCTGATGAGACTGTCATATTTGTGTCCAAGATTCAGCCAAACTGGTCTAAGTAGATTCTTCTGCTATAGTAAATTTCCTATGTTTTTAAGTTTAATCTATTTAGAAAAATTTAAGTTCAAGACAATTGTGTAGTGGTGAAATTCAAAACATTAATTTATAGATGTATTTTTTTTCTTTTAAATTACCTAATGATTTAGATGAATTTAATAGAAATCCGATTGAAAAAGTGCGTTCTATTAAACCATTTCCATTTCGTTCCTATATAAATTTTTTTATCATAATATGAAATTATGTCAGTTATTGATTTAGTATTGAAAATTCTAATGAACTATCCCTTTATTAAATATTCAGTTAATCCGCCATTTTCTATATAAGTAAATGGCTGTACCAAGTCAGGAATATGACAGTTGTTTTCCATTCGTATGATGTGTTTGAGCTTTCGATTTTGCCATTTTCGTTGGAGTTCGGTATTTTTGTTATTTTACTTTTTAGAAACATATCTGCATTTTTGGTAAAAAAATATGCTAGTTGTGTGTTATAAAACTGTGAAATAAGCCAGTTGAATTTGTAGACTGGTTCTATGATATTTCAAAGGAACACTTTTTATGCCAACAAATGGAATTTTTTTTTTTCATTACCGACACTCGAACTTGAGAGTAATTTTAGCTCAAGCTTATATCAACAGATTTTGATTTTCGGCAAAATATGTTTTTCACTTCATTAAAGCGTGATTAAAATGGCTTTGAATTTACGTTTGATCCATTTATTGCATTTAAACGTCACACTCCGTTTATTACTCGCTCGTCAAAGATTATAAATTAAGTCTTTCCACTTTTCCGTGGAAAGACCTATTGCTTTTGTTCTGATTAGTATTTTTATTTCTTCCGCCTATTTTTTTTTCCTTCGCTGTTTGGTAGTTTTGCAAGATGTCGCTTAGATATTTGGTATATGATATTGAACAATTTATATGCTTTTGAAACTAACATCGCTTAACCGAATACTTTTCCATGTAAGAGTTATCTCCCCAAACACTGTTTGTCTTGTTATTTCTAATACTTCGCAAACGTATAAGAAACCGACAAATTTATTTTTCCAAATTGCTTGTTATATCCTCAGGATGTTTTGATTAATCTTGACCGAAGCGGTATAGAGATTCCATATGAGAGTTATTTTCCCTTCTGTATTTGATATAAGTGAAAAGTATTTGTAACTGACAAACCATAAGTGATAGAGACCTAGGGCTTTTTTATTTGAGGTCCTTGGTCCATAAAACAGAAAATGAGGTCAAGGTCAAAGGTCTAAATTTTGATTTTGGCTTGTTATCACTAATTTTCAGAAATTGTATAACATATCGACATTTTTTTTTTTACAGAATTGTTAGTTGCGACATGTCGTAACACATAAATTTTGGTTCAAAGGGTACGTAGACATTTAATGGGTCAAACAGGCCATAAGCAGTATGAATGCGACGAAAACTCAGAAGGAGAATTTGAAGGTAATGATTCATATATGACTAACACTGATGGCGATAATAAACAAGATAACTCTAATGTTCACGACAATAGTGAGAATTATGAGCAGAATCAAGACCATGATGATATCGACAAGCCAAGTCAGGAGAGTGAGGTCCATTTCCGGAGTTCGACACAACCTCTCATGAGTACTGAGGATAAGAGTAGGTCAGAGAGTGACACAGAACATTCACAATCGATCCTCGATAATCACGATAGGGTGTCCGCCAGAAAAGACAATTCACCAAAAAAGAAGGAAAAACCAAAACATCCTAAAAGTGATGACAGGAGACCTGGCATCTCAAGATATTTAATAAAACCTGGTCATGAGCAGGCTAATGCAACAAACAAAACGCCTAACAAGTCAAGAACAAGAACTCAAAACATTGAAAAATCACCAGTAACGCCAACTGAAAATTTACACGACGCTACAAGAGAGGAAGCTGCAAAGAAGCAGAAAAAGAAACCATAAACTGTATATATGTGTAAAGAACTACAAAAAATTAAGACTAAAATTTATTTATTATAACAATAATAAAAAAAAATAAAAAAAATCGAAAAACCAAAATGCATTATAAAAATCACATTCCTCACAATACTGTCTGTATAGCACTGTTTCTACTTATTTTTAACTGTATATATTATCCAGAATATCATTTAAACTGTTTGAGTGGTATAGCTGTTGAAGGTTATCCACAATCAATTCAGGTAGTTGTTATCCTGAAAAAGACAAATAAAACAATTAATCAATTTGTAAATGGAAATAAAAACAATATGTATGAAATTATGTATAAGAATGTAAAAATATGTAAGAAAAAGGGAAAGAAGTGTTACTCTGAAAGCCTAGCTAATAAAGTAGTATGCTGTGTAAAAGTAGTTATTTGTTTAATAACTTTGATAATCATGTTATACAAAATGTATTTGTGGAGTATATTGTATTTTAATGTACTAAATAGGTGTTTATGTATCATCTTACAAATAAACATAAAAAGCTCTATTCACAACAAATTAAGTAAAGTTAAAATGAACTCTTCAAAACTAGATGAAATAACATTGACCAGACAGGCTATAAATAGGATGAGGTCAAAATATAGATCGAATACAATTGTAAATAGAGAACTAGTATACCTGGGGAGCAGGTGTTTAAATTTCTTACAGAATAAACATTATAAAAGTGATAAATATATTAATCACAGATTATCAAAAACTAAGTACAAAAAAAATCAAGTAAGATATGTTAATGCTTGTGATAAAGAACTGCTCAAAATATTAGACAGCCATTTAAAGAATCATGTGAACAAAGATGTAGATTTCAACTCCAAAGGTAAATATCTCAGATCTGATAATCTAATAGAAATCATCCAAGCATGTAAAGTCTATGAAACGGATAAAAGGAAAAAAATAAAAGAATTCAAAGTTAAAATAAATGTAGGCACAATCAAAAGTAATAAACAAATAATGCTGAAGATAAAATACTACAGAGATAATAAGAATAATTACTCACCATGCTTAGAGTTCAGGAAGATAAATAAATTTAACTATAATCCACCATGAATAAATATCTGCATATATGCACGGTCAATGCTAATGGCCTGCAGCAACCTGACAAAATAATTAAAATAGTTAGTTGGGCAAATCAACAAAAATGTGATATAATATTTATTCAAGAAACTCATTTCACAAATTTAATGCAAGATACTTGGAATAAAGAATTTGGTGAAAATCTTTTAAGAAGTGATGGAACAAGTAATTCGCGTGGGGTAGCAATATGGTTAAGGGATGGAATTCATTTCAAAATTATAGATGAACACAAGGATTCTGAAGGGAGATTTATCTTAATTAACATTGAAATTAATGAAAATATCTACACACTAGTTAATATCTATGCTCCAAATAGATTAAGAGAAAGAAATAGTTTTTTCAAAAAAGTTAAATCTTATATAAATAAAAATGGACTAGGCCAAACTATCCTTGGGGGCGATTTCAATGATATTTGGTCATTGACTGATACAAAAAACAAAACTAAATCCTCCAAAAAATTTGATAAACCAGTAACAAGTTTGAAAGGGCTGATAAAATCATCCAAATTAATAGATATTTGGAGAATCAAAAATAAAAACACAAGACAATTTACCTGGTGTAGAAAAGATAGATCAGAAGCCACAAGGATTGATTATTTCTTTACATCAAAAGAAGTACAAAAAAATTGTAAAAGTTGTGACATTAGACCTATAATCCAAAAACTAACTGATCATAATGCGGTATCATTAAAAATTAATACTGACAGAGGAAATAAGGGACGAGGCTATTGGAAATTAAATTCAAGTGTTTTAAATAATGAAGATTACACAATTTTAATCAAAAAGTTGATATCTAAATATGAAAAAGATTCATTCAACTGCAATGATCTGGGGATACTATGGGATAACTTGAAAATAGAAGTAAGGGATGCAAGTTTAGACTACTGTAAAATCAAAGCTAAATTAAAAAAGGATGAAATTAATATTCTAGAAAAACAACTGAATAATCTTAATAATGAAATAGATAATGGTATTGATAAAAGTCAAAACTTAAAAATAGAAATTGAGAAGGTTGAAAATAAGTTAGAGGGTTTGTATAAAGATAAAATTAAAGGGCAAAAAATTAGGTCAAGGGTAGAATGGTTTGAAGAAGGGGAAAAAAATAGTGCATACTTCTTGGGACTAGAAAAAAGTCGTCAAACAAAAAAGATCATAACTGAATTATATGATGAAAATGGATCTACGACAACTGACCAAGATAAAATTCTAAATTTACAAGTGAAATACTACAAAAATAAAAGCTTTACGAGTCAACTAATCCTAATGATAATGATGTTAAAATGTATATTAAAGAAACAGAAATACCAAAAAAACTAAAAGACTCGGATAGTATTCAATGTGAAGGGAATGTAACAGAAACTGAATGTACAGATGCAATATTTAAAATGAAATTAAATACATCCCCTGGTCTGGATGGGCTGACAGTAGAATCTTATAGACAATTTTGGGGTAGTCTAAAGAATATTATGGTCAAGGTTTTCAATAATAATTTTGAAAAAAAGAATTAACAAATTCTCAAAAGAAAGGTGCTATTTCGCTTATTTTTAAAAAGAATGACCCTTTTTCATTAAATAATTACCGTCCTATAACATTATTGAATATTGATACGAAATTACTAGCTTATGTGTTGGCACAGAGACTGAAAAATGTTCTTCCTTCTATAATTAGTCTAGATCAAACTGGATATGTCAAAAATAGATACATAGGTTTTAATATTAGACAAATACAAGACATTATAGATTACTCTGAAAAATTTAATATAGAAGGAGCAATACTTTTTTTGGATTTTAGTAAAGCTTTTGACTCTTTGGAATGGACATTTATGACAGAAACGCTAAAAAAGTTTGGATTTAAAAATGGCTTTATCAGATGGGTGGAAACTATGTATGATGGCATTAAAGGCTGTATTTTAAATAATGGGTGGGTTTCAGGTCCGTTTAAAATATATCGTGGTATACGACAAGGGTGTCCGATTTCTGCTCTTCTTTTTGTCATAACAGTAGAATTAATGGCAATAAGGCTAAGAAGTAATAAAGATTTTAAAGGAATAACAATAAAATTAGATGGAAAATCATGTAATTTAAAAATTTGTCAATTAGCTGATGACACAACTGTTTTTTTTCAGTCACGAAAAGAAATAAGTCTGGCTCTTAGTATAATTGAAACATTTGGCAGCTTTTCAGGATTAAAACTAAATAGAAATAAAACAGAGGGGATATGGTTAGGAAAATTAAAAAGTTCAAAAGATAGATATGAAAATATAAATTGGATAAATAAACCAATTAAAAGCTTAGGTATTTACTTTGGTTATGACAGAAAAGAATGTGACACACTGAATATGGAAAAAGTCATGGATAAAATAGCGAAACTTGTAGATAGATGGTCAAAACGAAGATTAACCCAATTGGGAAAAATATTAATCGTAAAAGCTCTTTTGCTACCAAATATAACTTACATTGCAACTAATAGTATCATAAGTAAAGATAAACTACAAAATATTAATAATTTAATATATAAATTTATTTGGAATGGAGGAAAAGATAAAATAAAAAGGTCAATAATTACTAAAAAAATTTCAGAGGGGGGTTTAAATATGATTGATATCGAGTCTTATATAAAATCAATACATATAAAATGGATTATAAAAATAATACAATCAGGGAATGCAAATTGGGCTGTATTACCAAAGCTATACCTCAATAAATTTGGCAAAAACTTACTTATTTTCAAGATAAATTTGAATAAAATAAAAATGCTAGATAAAAAAATATGGAACGAAACACCAATTTTCTATCAAGAGATGATAAAAACATGGATAAATGTTAACAATTGTAACAATATTAATCATGATCAAATTGAGAATTATTTAGATATTAGAAAACAAATAATATGGGGAAATAGATTTATAAAATTTCAAGGAAAATGTTTGTTCTTTGATAACTGGATTGACAGCGATATATTATATATTAATGACATAATCGATAAAAGGGGGGAAGATATCAGAAGAAAAAATTATTTCAAAATTGAAAAAAAAAAGTAATTGGATTGTAGAAATCTTAAAAATTAAAAATTCCATACCAAAACGATGGGTCAACATATTAAAATCAGAAGAATCATTCAAAACTAATGTTCATATTAACCGAACTAGAATCAAATTTCGAGACAATACTGATATCCTTACTATCAATAATAAAGACATATATAAAATAGTGCTAGGTCAAGTAATAACAGAAACGCCAATTGGATTTGCTAAATGGGAAAGACTCTTTGGTAATGGAAGTCTCAAAAATGAATTTAAAGACTCTATTAAATTCACTTTTGAGTATCTAAAAGATAATAAAATAAAAATGTTCAGATGGAAATTAATGCATTTTATTTTACCAAATGAACAGCTGCTTTTCCAGTGGAAAATTGCACAAAATGACCTATGTACTTATTGCAATGAACTAGATAACTATAACCATTTCTTCATTACATGTCAATATCATAAAATATTTTGGAAATCAATGAAAGATTTACTCAAAAGAGTTGGCATAGAAGAACATGTTATAAGTCTCCGTTCTCTTGTCATAGGATACAAAATTAATGATAAAGCTTACTTTGCACTTAATCATTTGCTTAGTTTAATGTTCTTTTCAGTCTATAAGGCACACTGTGTTTCGAATAAAAAATCTAAATGGGTAGATACAATGAAAATATTTAAATATGAAATAAATAATATAGTAGAATTATATAGTTTGGTAAACATGAAGATAAACTGTTTATTAACAAAAGTGTATAACATTTTGAGAAAAAACTAAGGTAATGTTATAGAAATGTGAAAATATACATGTAGCATAAAGTATTTTGTAATATCAATATGCTGTCAATGTGCTTATAAATGCACCTGATACCTTAAATGTTAAGGTATACAAGTACTTATTATCTACTTATAATATATATATGAAAAGATCTGTACTTGGTGTGTTGGTGTGTGTGTGTGTGTGTTTGTGTGTGTGTCTACATTGTACAAGTATGTATATATGGGTGTGGATACTTTATTTGCTTCAAAATAATTGGCTAAGAAATAAAGAAAAAGGGGTAAAAATAAAGAACAATATAACTAATACCATGTTACTGGGCAGATATAGTAACTAAGTGTACAGAATTTGATGTTATTCTTGAAAATTTGAGGCAATTAATATTTTATAGCCTATCTGCATATAATTTCAAATGTGATGCTTAAAATGTAAAAAACATGCAACTATGAAGGAGTTTTGTGTGTGTATCTTGGATGTTTGAATCTGTCTGTGTGTGTGTAGTACGAATATGACTTCAGAAAATTCAAGTATGTGTATGTTTACAAAATAGCTGATAGGTATTTTAAGGTCACGACACGGGATCATGTTCAATTGTTCATAACGTTATGTAGGTCAAATAAATAACACATTTATTTCAAATCATTTGATTTATAACAGATAAAAACATATAATTAAAACATCTCACCTTTTCGTATTTTTATTCCAAATTACAAAACATTGCAGAATTGTGTAAATCCCAACTTGAAGCACAAAAAACGTGCGAGGTCATCGACCAGTGACCGCATTTAGGTGGCACGGTAGTATTTGCATTCCAGAATTTAGGTTGCTCTTTTGTGTACCCTACCTAAGTCAATGTATCTGAACAGTGTGATTGGACAAAAAATACAGTATCAACTGAACACACTTTCCCAAACTGAGGGATGAATCAGGTGTAGAAAAATATGAAATAATTTTACAAACAGATGAAAATGAATTTTTGAGAATTTTTTTAAATTGTGTATTCACTGCATGATAAAAGACCTAAAAGCACTAGTGGCCTTAGGTTTTTTAAAATAGCAACAAAAGTAAACGGTCATGATACACATTCAAATTCATTTCTGAATAGTAAAATGAAAGTACTTCAGTTAACTGTGAATGTAGAATTTTTTGCAGTGTTAGAAAGTGGTGAAAATTCTAAAAAGGCTATCATTATCCCTTATGGGCCAGGAAATACTACCGTGCCACCTTAAGGGGGATATATATGTTTACACTAAATCAATAAAGGATTTTTTTTTACCTATGCAATTTGTATGTTTATCAATAAAAAGTTGATTAAGGGCAACTATAATAAAAATACCCCTTAAATTCCACCCCTGAGAGTGAAAATTGCTGATTCAGCAAATTTTGCCTGATCTGTGGGTAATAATGTAAAAATTCACCTAGAAAGTAGAACTTCATTATTTTTAAGTAACTTGTAGTCCTTTTTTAATTATAAATGCTCGCTTTAACTTTTTGCACTGTCTGACACATGTGCAACCACTGGAATTTGAGACGCGACATATTTTAGTTGCCTGTACGTCCTATCATTTTCACCAAAATAGATGTATTGCATAATTTTTTATTTTTTTCCTAACAAGTACAGCTATACTAGTTTTCTTCAGGTCTAATTTGTAGTTCTGTGGTAACATGACACCAGTATGAGCTTTTTTGGAACCATTAAGTAGTTAAGGGGTCCTTACTTATTCATTTAGCCCTCATATTTGGCTGAAATAGAGATAGCAATAGGGGTTTCTTTACATTGACAAGACATTTTTTTTTGACAAAGAATGTAATTATGATTGTATATCAGCAAGATTTAATAGTTTATTCATTTTCCCTGCAAATGCTATTAATTGTTTTGATTTTCTGACAATGAAAAGCACAATAAAGGTAAACTGATTATGTAAGGGGACATAATTTAACTTAATGCATACATGAGAAATAGACAAACAGTCAACTTAGAGATATATTCTAGGACATGTACTGTCAAAAAGATTTTAGAATAATAGCTAACTGCCATCTAAAGAGTCTTGTTGTGTTGCCTTCATAATCTGGAAATGCTTAAAGTAATGTAAGGCATGCTGTAAAATGTGGAATGGACTTTAATATCATTTTTCATGATTTGGTGCTTAAACTGTTTCTTTCAGTCAGATTAACTATACATAGAGTTGGCAATTCAATAATTCCTCCTGAATCACCATGTTTGACTTCTGTGTTGATTTGAAACATCATATATTTGGGTTTTGTTCACTCCTATAGTAAAAATGGTAAGATGAAAAAATAGTGAAAATATGCCAGTTGGGGTAGGGGTGTAATCTTTCACTTTTTTTTGGTAAGAAATAAGTTTAGACTAGTATTCTTTATTGTAATATGTTTCATAGTAAGAAGTCTATGCATCATAGGTATCATGACTGATTTCAAGTTTGTAATGTCTTGGTTAAGGTGGCACGGTAGTATTTGCATTCCAGAATTTAGGTTGCTCTTTTGTGTACCCTACCTAAGTCAATGTATCTGAACAGTGTGATTGGACAAAAAATACAGTATCAACTGAACACACTTTCCCAAACTGAGGGATGAATCAGGTGTAGAAAAATATGAAATAATTTTACAAACAGATGAAAATGAATTTTTGAGAATTTTTTTAAATTGTGTATTCACTGCATGATAAAAGACCTAAAAGCACTAGTGGCCTTAGGTTTTTTAAAATAGCAACAAAAGTAAACGGTCATGATACACATTCAAATTCATTTCTGAATAGTAAAATGAAAGTACTTCAGTTAACTGTGAATGTAGAATTTTTTGCAGTGTTAGAAAGTGGTGAAAATTCTAAAAAGGCTATCATTATCCCTTATGGGCCAGGAAATACTACCGTGCCACCTTAAGGGGGATATATATGTTTACACTAAATCAATAAAGGATTTTTTTTTACCTATGCAATTTGTATGTTTATCAATAAAAAGTTGATTAAGGGCAACTATAATAAAAATACCCCTTAAATTCCACCCCTGAGAGTGAAAATTGCTGATTCAGCAAATTTTGCCTGATCTGTGGGTAATAATGTAAAAATTCACCTAGAAAGTAGAACTTCATTATTTTTAAGTAACTTGCAGTCCTTTTTTAATTATAAATGCTCGCTTTAACTTTTTGCACTGTCTGACACATGTGCAACCACTGGAATTTGAGACGCGACATATTTTAGTTGCCTGTACGTCCTATCATTTTCACCAAAATAGATGTATTGCATAATTTTTTATTTTTTTCCTAACAAGTACAGCTATACTAGTTTTCTTCAGGTCTAATTTGTAGTTCTGTGGTAACATGACACCAGTATGAGCTTTTTTGGAACCATTAAGTAGTTAAGGGGTCCTTACTTATTCATTTAGCCCTCATATTTGGCTGAAATAGAGATAGCAATAGGGGTTTCTTTACATTGACAAGACATTTTTTTTTGACAAAGAATGTAATTATGATTGTATATCAGCAAGATTTAATAGTTTATTCATTTTCCCTGCAAATGCTATTAATTGTTTTGATTTTCTGACAATGAAAAGCACAATAAAGGTAAACTGATTATGTAAGGGGACATAATTTAACTTAATGCATACATGAGAAATAGACAAACAGTCAACTTAGAGATATATTCTAGGACATGTACTGTCAAAAAGATTTTAGAATAATAGCTAACTGCCATCTAAAGAGTCTTGTTGTGTTGCCTTCATAATCTGGAAATGCTTAAAGTAATGTAAGGCATGCTGTAAAATGTGGAATGGACTTTAATATCATTTTTCATGATTTGGTGCTTAAACTGTTTCTTTCAGTCAGATTAACTATACATAGAGTTGGCAATTCAATAATTCCTCCTGAATCACCATGTTTGACTTCTGTGTTGATTTGAAACATCATATATTTGGGTTTTGTTCACTCCTATAGTAAAAATGGTAAGATGAAAAAATAGTGAAAATATGCCAGTTGGGGTAGGGGTGTAATCTTTCACTTTTTTTTGGTAAGAAATAAGTTTAGACTAGTATTCTTTATTGTAATATGTTTCATAGTAAGAAGTCTATGCATCATAGGTATCATGACTGATTTCAAGTTTGTAATGTCTTGGTTAAGGTGGCACGGTAGTATTTGCATTCCAGAATTTAGGTTGCTCTTTTGTGTACCCTACCTAAGTCAATGTATCTGAACAGTGTGATTGGACAAAAAATACAGTATCAACTGAACACACTTTCCCAAACTGAGGGATGAATCAGGTGTAGAAAAATATGAAATAATTTTACAAACAGATGAAAATGAATTTTTGAGAATTTTTTTAAATTGTGTATTCACTGCATGATAAAAGACCTAAAAGCACTAGTGGCCTTAGGTTTTTTAAAATAGCAACAAAAGTAAACGGTCATGATACACATTCAAATTCATTTCTGAATAGTAAAATGAAAGTACTTCAGTTAACTGTGAATGTAGAATTTTTTTGCAGTGTTAGAAAGTGGTGAAAATTCTAAAAAGGCTATCATTATCCCTTATGGGCCAGGAAATACTACCGTGCCACCTTAAGTTTCTGGAACATTTAAGATAGTATACAAAAACTCATTCCGAAATAAATAGTGATAAATTCCGTAATATATTGACGAACTTTTGTGATAACGTGTGTAATGTTACATGAATATATAGTATTTTATATAGAAAAAAATAAACATATTTTGTAGTAGACTATTTAAAACAGCTATTTGTAATAGCAATTTATTTATTTAGATATTGATAGAATTTTTTTTTTTTGTTAATTCTACTGAATATTCTCCCTGGATATTCGGTGGCACTATTAACAGGGATACTTGATGGAATGCTGTACATCAAGTGTTATTGTTAACAGCAAGTTGTGCAATAAAGTATCAATTTGAGTGTTAAAAAAAAAAGACATTTAATGGGAATTTTCTCCCCCCCCCCCCCCACCCCCCCATATTTTAAATTTGCCGTATGGTGATATAATTCATAAACCATACATAGTACAAACCTAGGGTCTTTTGATTTAAGGTCCTTGTTTTATGACCTTGAAATTATGGTCAAGGTCAAAGTTTGATTTGACGTTTTAGATTTTGACCTTTGCTCTTACTTCTTATTGGTTCAAGAAAAAGTCAAAGGGTCTTTTACATTGGGTAACTGGAATATGACCTTGAAGGAGGTCAACCGGAAGTGACCTTTTGTAAACCGGAAGTAGCCATTTGTGCATTATTTTCATGTAAAATTTACTAGAACTTTATAATTTTGGAATCATTGTAAAGTAAGGTTAAAGTGTACCCGGAAATAGCATTTTGTAAACCGGAAGTACCTACTTATCTCCCTAATTTTTAGCAAAAGTATATAAAAACCATATAGATTTGGAATTAGCATAAATTAAGTTATTATCTGACACTTTTACACCAAAATTGTATATTTTCTTGTCTAGATATGTCTATATGGGGTGGAAAGACCTTCATTTGTTCTCTGAACAATTGGTTTTTAATTGTTAATATTTTTCTTTCGTCAGTCATTGAAAAATTGAAAAAATGATTCGAAACTACGGATTATATATGATGACCAACTTTGACTGAAATCCGTATTTTTACGATAGTTACTACCTACACATAGATATAAGAAGATGTGGTATGAGTGCCAATGAGACAACTCTCCGTCCAAGTACAATTTGAAAAAGTAAACCATTATAGGTCAAAGTACAGCCTTCAACACGGAGCCTTGGCTCACAGCGAACAGCAAGCTATAATGGGCCCCAAAATGACTAGTGTAAAACCATTTAAACAGGAAACCCAACGGTCTAATATATATAAAAAACGAGAAACGAGAAACACTTATGAACCACATCAACAAACGACAACCACTCAACATCAGGTTCCTGACAGGTGCAAACAAATGCATAGGGTTTAAACGTTTTAATAGGCGCCAATCTTCACCCTAACCTGAAACAGTGTAACATCACAACATAGAAAGACACACTATAAAATATCAATTGCAATGGCTTAACTCAACCAAAAGTCCTATTAACAAAAACAAGTGAACATACACTGAACGAATAAATTGATCTATGACACAATGTAAATACAAAATTAATAAAACAAGCGGGTTAGATGTAAAACAATATCAGAAAGACAACCATAACCTTAGACAAAATGCCACCAAACAAAATAACGTACACAGGTTAATAAAAATAATTTTTACATTTAAATATACATGACTCAGATGACTTGAGAATAATGAGCCCACAAGTGTAAAATATGCATTCAACACCCATTACAGCACATTGACTTGAGTGTGTAGGTAAAGGTAGTATCTTTGGTTAGCTTGCTTGCTAGCTGAACCATGAAATCATTATAAGCTAAAGGTACTACCTTCCTTTGGGCGGAGTCAATTATTATATTTAAGTAGAGAACCAATCAAAAGTAGGGACAGAATCATTGTGACACCAGTTTTTCAAGTCAGTTTAAAAATATGTTTTCAATCTGAATTTAAAATCTACCGTTAAGGATAATGTATCCTTTTGTTGTTTCAATGCTAAACATATGGAAATTTTATTACCAAAATCCACAGCCTTTCCCCTGGTACCCTTATATTTGATAATTCGATGCTTAATAGAAAGAAGATTATTGCATGCAGTGCTATCAATGATTTCACTAAAACAAGTATATACATGTAATATTTATTGATCACTATGGTTACAAATACGAAGAATCTTATTGTAACGATACATGATTAACTCATTGATACATGGAGAAAGCGTTAAGCAGATTAAGACGTTTAGCGGGAAAGTTAGTGGCCGGGTCGAAGGTTATAGGGGTGTTCGTAAGGGATTCTCTATGTTCCGTAAGTGGAACATTTAGAGAACACCCCTATCAAGGAAATAATGTATTCGACCACGGTTATATAAGTGAATGAGAAACGCCACTCGTGGCTGTCCGACCGTGCAAGGGCTGTATAGCCAGTCAAGGTCGTTAAAAACTTCCATATATATATACTCGGGGCTGTCAATTGGATGTCAATGAACTGTCAACGTTCATTAATCAAGAGAGCGTACGGCGGTTATATTAAGTGCTAGTAGAGCTATAATATTCGGAGGACACTTTGTACTAGGTACAAAGTGAACGTACAAGTTGATCGGATTGACAGAGCAGACTGTCTTAATTACTCGAAGGACAAGCTGTACCAGCCCGCACTGACTGGAAGTGACAGACTGTCCCACTTTGAGGACAGGCTGTACCAGCATGTGTAAATGCTCTTTTGTTCCGACGTTGGAAAGTTCCGGGCAGAAAGAACTAACTAGCCGAAAAGTTCCGGAGGAACTTATTAACTAGTTACTTAGTTCTTCCTCTGGTTTAAAAGTTCCACCGGAACAAAGTGACTAGTTGAAAAGTTCCAACGGAACATATCAACTAGTTAGAAAGTTCCTTTTTGCCAAATTAGTCAAAACCGGAACTAACAAACTAGCCCAAAAGTTCCAACGGAACTTATCAACCAGTCACAAAGTTCCATTTGGAGAATTGATACAAAGAACCACATGAGGAGGGGTATTCTTCCCTCTCTTGAGGGTACTATGAATACTAAATTTGCATGATAATGCAACTTATTCCGTTTTATGTGAGCTATAAAATACAACTTAAATTTTGCATATTTGTCCCCAAAGAAACCCCTTTCAGTGCGTTGGGTATTCTTGTAAATTAATGATTTGCTCTTATATATACTGATACTCATTCTTCCCCCTCTTTCTACAAAAAGGACGAAATATGGTATATTCGGAACGATATAACTAGTTGTTTTGTTCCGCCAGAACTATTCAACTAGCTACATTGTTCCGGGACTTTTCAACTAGCTACTTTTTTCTGGAACTTTTCGACTGCACTCGGAATAAAACAACTAGTTGGAAAGTTCCATCGGAACGAAATAACTAGTTGAAAAGTTCCGCCGGAACAAAGTAACTGACGGAACATAGTGGCTGTTACACATGCACTATCTGGTAGAGATAGACTGTACCAGCCACACTGTCTTGTAGTGACAGACCGTCCCATCTGGTGGACAGGCTGTAAGATTGTATTATATTTGTATATATATAATTGTTCGTTGTTACTTAATATCGGCAAAGAGCCCGTGTGTATATTTTAGTTCATTGTGCATAACATAGATAGATAGTTATAGGCTTTTGGTATCATCGTATTGTTTATGGAAAGCTTGAATCCAAGTATTTACTGGAACGATCGTTTAAGATATAAACGCCATACTGGTTACACGTTTCATGTTTGGTGGCTAGCGGTTGGGATTCAAGTTATCTATTAAATACTATTTGATTGATTGATCGTCATTTAATTTATTGTCAGTTTACTTCAGTATTTATTCAAAATTATTTTAAAGTAAATCAACCGTAAGGCATAGTTGTAGTTCACGGCTGAGTTGTAACACGAGTGTATTATTACATAACACTATAGTTGTTTTATTTGAATTACACTATACAGCAATAAATATGTCAAATATTGACGATCAGATTGCTGAAATAAGTAGACAAATACAGTCTCTCAGTGAAAGCACAATGCAACATGGTTTTACTTTGCGTACTTTTGTACGTTTGTTTTTTCTACATTGGCTAGAGGTATAGGGGGAGGGTTGAGATCTCAAAAAACATGTTTAACCCCCCCCCCCCCCCCCCCGCATTTTTGCGCCTGTCCCAAGTCAGGAGCCTCTGGCCTTTGTTAGTCTTGTATTATTTCTAATTTTAGTTTCTTGTGTATAATTCGGAGTTTGGTATGACGTTCATTATCACTGAACTAGTATACATATTTGTTTAGGGGCCAGCTGAAGGACGCCTCCGGGTGCGGGAGTTTCTCGCTTCATTGAAGACCCATTGTTGGCCTTCGGCTGTTGTCAGCTCTATGGTCGGGTTGTTGTCTCTTTGACACATTCCCCATTTCCATTCTCAATTTTATGGATTTGGTTTTATATCGTCTACACGTAAAGATCAGGGTGTACGTCAAAAGGTTATTGCAAATAAAGATCATGATTCAGGCATAGTGACGACAGGGCTGGTTCTATCAGCACATGGTGGATTGGCCGTGGATGATACACTGCCTTTGCAAGATGGTAATAACATATCAAATCCTCACATGAGTAATAGAAAATCCATAGGGCAAGATAAAGGTCAATATTTCCATCCTAAGCAGGACTTAAAAAAAATCAAAGTACTATTCATACTGTTTGCTCTGGTTCAAATGATGTTAAAATCAAACCTTCAAAATATGATGGCAATACTCCTTGGATGGATTACACTTTGAGATGTGTGCCCTAGTCAATATGTGGTCTGAACATCAAAAAAGTTTGTACTTGGCCGTGTCACTGATTGGACAAGCTCAAGTGGTCTTTGGTGATTTACCAAAGGAAAAGAGACAAATATTTTCAGACCTAGTAAATGCACTGAGGAACGGTTTGCTCCATCTAGTCAAACTTAAATCTATCGTGTACAATTCAAGGAACGACAGAAAGGAAGCAAAACTCTACCGGAGTTAGGTCAGTCAGTTTGAAGACTTTCTAAACTGCCCCGTTAGAATTAAGAGAAACACTCGCCAAGGAATAATTTTTAGACGCGTTAGTAGACTCTGAAATGAGATTGAGAATTAAACAGTCTTGTCCTAAAGGTCCTAAAGGTCTTAACGATGCTATACGGTTGGCAGTTGAACTTGAAGCTTATAACAAGGCTGAGAGTAGAACAATGAAAAGAATGGGTCACTTACGACAAACCACTAGTGACGAACAGACGAAAGCATCTAACTGTCCTAATACCGTTGTATCTATGGAGCATATGGCTTCATGGATGCAAAAAATTGAGAATAATTTACAGTTCTTAACGAAAAACATGATGACGCTTAAA